TGCCTGAACAATTTTTTCACCATCTTTTGGCTTTTAAACAAAACTTGACTTGCCAAATTCAACATTGCTCTGCATGCACACAGAGGTATGATTTGATTTGCCCTAATCTCTGATAACAATCACACAGCATCAGTCTCTGGTTGTGCAAGAGACTGTGCAAACTGCATAATTGTTATGAGGCGCTGGATGATGCCATCACACTTAGCAGGCCACCGGGCCGAGCTGAGTGCAGGGCTTGAGCCCAGAGCAAACCAGCCTCTGCTGTTTCCCGAGAAATTTGGCGGCCCAAATACATGAGTTAAAAGCACAGCAACAGTTTTCAGGCCATAACCGAAGTTAGGAAATGGCCAGAGGGCTACACAGAGCCTCGATCTGCTGTGACCAAAAGGCTGAAGCTTCTTCCACTGCACTTCTTTCAGTCTTTGGGCTGGATTCCATTTCCAAGATGCTTTCAAGGGCTGGATTCCAGGGGTGGGTCAGGGTGAAGGCAAGGTGGGGCAGGGCCAAAATACCAGCACGGTTTGGTTTGAAGCACTTGCTGCCACCAGCTAAGCCATTTTTGAGAAGCAGAGTGGGGTGGGGGAACTATGCAAAGGCCAGGAAAGCACAGGCAATGGGTGGCTAGAGAAAGAAGTATGGCAAAGGGGGAGGCCTGGAAGGCTGGACTGGTGCCCCAGGAGGTTCTGAGGTTTGGGATCCTTTGTCTAAAATGAGTAAGGAGCTCGACCAACTCCTGCCAGAAGAAAGGTTACAATGTCTGGGATGGTTTGGCTTTGAAAAAGGGAGAGTAAGAGGAGGCATGATGGAGATGTACAAAATGATGCAGGGTGTAGAAAAAGTGGAGAGGGAGGCATTTTTCTCACTCCCTCATTATACTAAGGGAGGAACCCCTAGGAACTGTAATACGAGGAACCCGGGGTCATCCCATAAAGCTGATTGGTGGGCGATTCAAGACAGATCAAGGGAAGGACATCCTCACATGGCGCATCATTAAGCCTTGGAATTTGCTGCCAGGAGATGTAGTGATGGCAACCAAGGGGACTGGACCAATTCATGGAGGAGAAGGCTATGAATAGCTACCAATCCGGACTGGCTCTGTGCTGCCTCCAGCATCAGAGAAAGTGTGCCTCTGAACACCCGTTGCCAGGGCACTTGGGCACAAGGGTGCTATTGCATTCGTGCCCTGCTTGTGGGTGTCCCATGGGCAGCAGGTTGGCCACCAGGTGAACATAATCCTGTACTAGATGGACCTTGGCTGGGCCCAGCACAGCTCTCCTTATGTTCTTAGAATGACAGCAACAGCATCGGGCACTCGTGTATGGCACTTCTTATGTATTTCAAGTGCTTCCATCATGGTAGAACCTAACCAAACCCGTTCAAGCAGTGGATTGGCAGCCAGGAGGGAGAGTGGGATCTGGGGGAGCAAGCGGGGCAGTCCTGGGATCTGGCTGTGCAGGACTGGAGCCTGGGTGGGCTAGGCACGTGCTGCAGCCTGAGACGCTGCACCCCTGCTCAATGAGCTCACAAGGAAGGAGAGCCTCGAGAGAGCAGCAGGTGCAGAAGAGGTAACATTTGTGCATGTCCATGCAAATTGGTAAAACAACCAGAACTGGTTCAGGAATCTTCACTTGGAGTCCTGCCCTGAGCAAGGGCCCTTTCGCCTCTTCCAACTCTACTCTTCTAGGATTCTGAGTTTGTAACAGAGCAGCGTTTCAAACCCATTTCTTCTTGGTTGCAGCCTAGCACTTCCACCCTGCACTGGTTTCAACTTTTTGGGTTACTTGCTCCACCACCATGTCTCTGTTGGTGGTCTGACAGTATTTGGTTGGTATTCTATAGCAGGGCGGGCAGAAAGTACATGGGGAATGATTTGGGTGACTTACAGTAGATTGCCCTGGATTTCTGACTCATGGTTGTCTAACAATTGGTTTTTTAAAACTTCTCTTTGATACTGTAGCATTAAGCCTTTACAACATCTCTTAAGTTGGATTTTAGGGGGTTTATTTGTTATGAACTGCCTGGAGAGCTTTGATGATTGGGTGGCACATAGAAATGTAATTAATTCATTAAAGCAAGCAAGCAAGCATAGATGAAAAAGCTTCCTCATCATGGAAGTGGGCTGCAGAAATAAAGAGTGTGTGTGTGTGTGGAGGGGGAGGGAATCAGGAATGAATTTGTGGGTGGAAAAGAGAGGGCTCAGTTCTGATACTGAAAGTACATTCCTGAGGTGAACATATGCTCAGAGGCTGCTTGCCTTAATAATATGAAATGCTATATTAAACAAACAAAACACTACTTGTGCTTGCTTAAGTAATACCTCTTTTCAGAAATCAAATATACAAAGAGGTGTGAAGATAAAAAGGAAACTGCAACAGATAGCAGGTGCTTGCTGAGTTGCAGGTCATAGACCCTGGGGGTTACTGGGGTCATAGTTCTTGGCATGCAACTAGTCTCCTTGAATAGGTATAGAAAGTTGCAGCAAAGGGGGAAGGCATCTTTTCCGGACAAGGAAAACACTGGTCTGATTCGAAATGCCCTGCATTAACGCTACTTAATGCTGCTGCATTAAAGGACTGGGCTGGTGCTCCGCAAGGCTTGAGGCATATTTAAAGAGCAGTGGCAAAGGGGAAAGGTATTTATAAGCAGGCTGTAGACACTCTTGATGTCCGTGTAAGTTTGACCTGATTGCTCAGATCAGCTTTGGAAGCTCTTCTCCAGGTGCCACCACCAGCTACAAGGGGAAAAGCTTGTTCTGTTAAGGCCCCTTCTCTGTGGAAGATTGACACAGCTGGTGGAGTCACCATCCTGCAGAATTGTCCGAAGCAAAAAGATTTTGCCTGTGGGCAAAAGGCATGTGACTGCCACAGCCAGTCAGGTGATTTGAGCTGGCTGACCCACGCCACTCCGACGTGGACTTCCCAGGCCCCTCCGGACACCAAGGGACACTTGTGCAATGCACTTGAGGCCCTACCCAGATCAAGAACCAACATCGGGGGCCACTGATTGGGACTCCCTTTCTAAAGATGATAGATCTGCATGCTTGGGAATTTCCTCTGGAGAGGTTTAGGGCTCTATGTTCATTCTAAAGGGAAAGAAAGCAAGGCGATACGCAAACACACTGCTGTTCTTAAGACCTTGGCTACTTCAAAGTTCTTTAGTAATGCACCTTCCAGCTGGTATTTGCATCTTCCACACACCTCAGAAACGCTGTATGGTCGACCGCAGCAAGCCATTGAGGTCTTTTGTATTCTTCAAGCCTATGGAAACTTGCTGGGGAATTAAGCCCCACCAGAACCAAGTTGACTTTGTTTCCAAGTTCCAGATTTAGACAGCAAACTATTTGGGACCCTGGTGAATGGTGACTGCTGCTTTCTGTGGAAGGGAGAGCTCTGAAGGTTCTCTGAGTTTTGGGGGATTCCCTTACCCCACACCTCATGCCATTCAGCAGGGGCTTCTGACTCTGTGTAGCGTTTATAGGGGACTGGAGGGGCTGCTATGGGAAGGAGGGGCCAGGAGTCCTGTCAGCAGTTCATCCGGTGTAATCCATAATGAACCCTGGGTGCCTGCTCAGTGCTTTGGACAACAGGTTCCAGTATTCTTGACCTTGGACTGGTAGGAATTAAAGTCCAAAACATCTGGAGGATACCAGTTTGGAGAAGGCTGGGGTGGGCTGCAGCTGGTGCTTGCATGGGGTGCAGTACATTTGGGGAGCCCTTTAGGAAATCCACAAGTCCCACTCTGATTCTCCCTTATTTTAGAAAAATGACCTTGTAGCCTTCGGTGAAACAATTTAGGCTGGGACATGCAAAGTGTGACACCCCACAAGCACTGCTTTTGTGCACACCACCCATAATTTGGAAGCAGACTCCCCAGAAATCAGTAGGGATTGGCACAACACAATGACATTCCTGGGTTTCTACTTTCAGGTTTGAGTCAGCCAAGGTGTCACCATCAAAGCACCCTTTAAAAAACATCCCCTCCCCCATCCCATAAAATTCAAGGACACAAACAGGCTCACCTCAAGCCACGACCCTGCGCTCGCTCGGTGCAAGCCACACAACAGCGGCAGGTCTTTTGCCTTTGCTCCTTTCCCTTTGAAAGAGCCAAACCGTGCAATTCTTTACTCAATTATCTTTATTAATAATGTTATAAAAAGTTCATAAAAAACCAGACATTTTACAAAAAGAAAAGACGTCCAACAAAAACCAACACACAATCACATAAATAGACATTCTTGTTTGTTTGTTTGTTTTTGCTTTGCTCCCCCCGCCCCCGGCCCCGGCCCCTTTTAACTGGCAATTCTAGTATCTCAGAACATCAGACTCGATTTCCTGGCATTGCAGTCACCATTTCAAAACCGGTCATCACAAAGAAACACTAGAAATCCCAGCCAAGGGCTTTGCCAGGAGGCAGAAGAACGCTTGGGCACATAAAACGGCTCTCCAAGGACGGACCCACGTGCGCCTCTGCAGGAAAGCCCGTTTCCCACCGGAAACACACACACAAACACGCACGCACGTGCAGCAGGCGCACGCCCCAAAACTTCCACGAAAACTGTAGACGCTGCCCCCCGGCCCCGGAGAGCGGCGGGCGGGGGGGGGGGGGCAGATCTGCTCATTCACGCACACTTTTTCTTAAAGGAAAGGCGTAAGGAGAAACTGCACGTAGAAACGGATGTCCGTGGCAGCTGCTGGGCAAATCAACATGATTCGAATAGTGGGGACGAGAGTCTCGGGCGCGTCTCGCCGGGAGCTCGCTCGGGAGCCTCTTGCGCAGCGCTTGCGCAGCCAGGTGCTTTCCAGGGCTGGCTGGGGAGGATGCTGGGAGCTGCAGCCCGGCACATCTGCAGGGCGCCCGGCTGGGAGGCGGCGGCGGCGGCGGCGAACCCGGGCGCGGAGGGGCTGGCGGCGCGCGGGGAAGCGCGCGGGAGAAGTCGCCGCCGGCCGCCTCTGCGGGAGTCCCTTCCCGCCCCCGGCGGGGACGCGGCCGCGGCCGCCCCCTTACACCTGGACGACCACCGTGCTGGGCCCGCCCTGCAGGAGGCGGCTCCTGTACTGGTCTAGCCAGTGCCTGAGTTCGGAGATCTTGTAGCCCTCGGGCCCGCGGCCGCCCTGGTACACCACCTTCCTCTCCTGGACGATGTAGAGGCGCTCGAAGTACGCCCCGTAGGCGGCGCTCGAGGCGTTGTCCATGGTGTCGACGGCCAGCGGGCAGCCCGGCGCGCCTCGCTGCATGAGCTGCGCCGCCCGCAGTCGGTCCTGCAGGCACTGGTGCTTGGGGATGTCGTAGGCGGCGTCCGAGCTGACCCAGCCGTCGGACGGGTGCGCCTCCTCGATGTAGACCAGCAGGAAGTCGGCCACGTCCACGAAGCCCGCGGCCAGGCGCTCGAAGGCGCGCAGGCGGGCCATGAAGGGCGGTCAGGTGCAGCTGCCGAAGTTGAGGATCAGCGGCCGCTTGCCGCGCGCGTAGTCCAGGATGCGCGTCCGCGTCCGCCCGTCCAGCTGGATGACCTCCGGGTTGGGCGCCGCCGCCCCGACGTGCGCCGCCTTGAAGAAGTCCAGCTTTTGCCCGTGCCACACGGCCTTGAGCGACTCCAGCGTGAACATGCGGTTCGAGTCGGACACGCACAGCGGAGGGTCGTCGGGAGGGGAGCCGGCGCCGTCCGCCGCCTCTTCCCCGTCCGCCGCCTCCCGCTCCCGGGCCCCCTCCTCGGTCACGGCCGCCGCCGCCGCCGCCGCCGCCGCCGTCGCCGTCAGCAGCAGCTTCTTGCGAATGCACAGGAAATCCAGGAGCCAGAGCATCGCGGCCGTCAGCAGGAAGCGGGGCAGCAGCAGCACGCAGGCGGCCACCTGGCCGAGCGCCTGCCAGGTGTGCGCGCCCAGCGAGTGCAGCATCTCTCCGGCGCCGGCCGGCCCCGCCGCGGGTGCACACGCCGTCCCGAGCCGCCGCCGCCGCCGCCCGCTCCCACCACTCCTCCGGCTGGCTCAGCCGATGAGAGATCCCGCTTCTCTTTAAGCCCATTTTATAGTCGGGGATTTAAATGAAAAAGTGACTCCACCTCCGGCCGGGAACCCGCCCCCTTTGGAATTTGAGCCCGGGGATTACCTACCCCTCCGCTCCAATGACCTAAAAATACTCCGGCAAGAGGAGGAGGAGGAGGAGGAAGGGCGGGGGAGCAGCGGGAGAGACCCCGCCCGGCCGGAGTACGGGGGGACGTGCAAGGGCGCAGGAAGCCGCCGCCAGCCAGAGGGCACGGCCGGGGGCTTCCGCGGCGAGCCAGCGAGCGCGCTCAGGCCAGGAATAATCAGCGCAACAGGCAGGCGAGCGCCGCCGCCGCCGCCGCCGCCTCCCCACACCCCGATGCCTCCACGGGCTCCCGCAGCCCATCTGCCTGCAACGGCGTTCGCGAGCGCCGGCCGGGTGGCTCCCGGGCCGCAACCGGGGTTCGGCGGGCGGCGCGCCAGGGGGCTTCGGTCCGTCCAATGCATGGGCTCCCCACGCGGCCGGCCCGCCCGCCCCTCGCGGCGTCCCCGCGCCGCTCCACGTGCGCCAAGCGCGGAGAGACCGCGAGGCCCGAGCGCCGCCCCTCCGCCGGACGCGGAGCCCCGGTGCGCCGGGCCCGGGGGACGACGCCCCTGGGCCGCGCCGCGCCGCGCCCGCCGCCGGCCGCCTCTGGCTCCCGCGTCCCGCGAGCGACGGCCCTTCGCCGCGGGCCGCGAAAGCCGGAGAGCGCGCGAGGCGCGGAGCTGCCGCTTCGCCGCGGGTTACCCAAAGCGCGCCTGCCCGGTCCGTCCGGAAGCCGGCGTCGCTCGAGCCGCCCGCGGGTGGCTGGGATGCTGCAGCCTCATCCGGGAAGAAGGGGCGTCATTGCTCGGCTGCTGACCTCTCCGGAGCCGTTCTTCCAGGATTAAGCGTTGGCCGGGGCGAAAGCGGTAGAGCGAGCACGTTAAAACCCGCCGGTGGTTTTGTTTGGCTTGTTCCCGGGGTAGCCACTAGGGGTAGCTGTTGCCCGAGGGCTGGAGGCGAAGCGAGTGCAGATGCCGCGGCCGCTTTCCTCTCCGCTCTCTCGCCAGTCGAAGCAAGTTCGGGGGCGATCCTAGGCGTGCTCGGGCGACCTCACCCTCGCTGATTTGGGGGTCCTTCCGCACAGCCTGGGTGCACCGCATCCCAGACCATATAGACTCACTCAAGCAAGTGAAGGGCCACATGGTAAAGGCTTATAACACGATGCAGGGTGAAGAGCAGGGGTGGGTAGCTTGTAGTCTCCAGGTGTAGCCTGCAGCCATGTTGCACTTCCATCATCCCTCGCCAGTGGCAACAGCAGCTCAGGTTGATTGAAGGTGAAGTCCAACAAGATGGAGAGCCACAAGTTGCTCACCATGGTGGACAGAGAGTCTATCCTCTCTAACTTTTGGAACCCAGATGCCTAGGAGCAATAAAGCTGACTGATGGAAGATTCCAGACAGGTAAAATGAAGCGCTTCCTCACAGAGCACATAGGTCAGCTATGGAATGTCATAAGATGCAGTAATGACCACCAACCTGGATGGCATTAAAAGGGAATTAGACGATTCCCTGAGCAGAATGGGGCTATCAATGCCTCGCGATCCTGGTGGCTCTTGCTACCGCCAGGATCCTGGGCAATATGGCTGTGCACACCGTTGTTCAGGAATATGGGTGGAAGGGTGCTGCTGCTCTCATGTCCTGGAAGTGCAACACGGCTGCAGGCTACACCTGGAGGCTACAAGCTGCCCGCCCCGCTCTTCACCCTGCATCATGTTATAGGCCTTTATCATGTGGCCCTTCACTTGCTTTCCCCCTAAGTCAATAAGCTCCAAAAGTTACCTCTCCTCCTGGAGAACTTGGTGTTTTACCTTGTTCTGTGTTCTGTCTTTGTTTGTTGCAGATAGAGAGCTCTCATTTAATTTTTGAAATATTCAAGGTGTGAAAGGTGATGCTCCCGTTTGGTGAAATTCAGTGATAATACAGTTGTGGGCTGCTCCTGTGTTGTGGCTCGGGAGAGTGGCCTGAACATGGAAGGTGGCCTGGTTTACATCCGTGGCAAGACGCTGGCACAGGAGAGGGACAGCTCTGCAAGCAGCTTCTGAAGAATTACACATCTTGCCAAAGCTCCACAAAACGGGGAGGGGCTGCTGAGGATCTTTTCCTTCTTGCTGCTTGGCCACATCAGTGTTTTCTGGTCTAGAACTGTAGAGGAGAGCAGGAGAACATGCAACACTGAAGACAGATAAATGGCATGGATTGATTTGTTGGTCCTTCCTAGCCATTTTCTAAAGCAATGCCCTTCCTTTGTATGCAGGCCTACAACAGCACCCAGTAGGCTGCCCCAGGGTATTTATAACTATACAGGGTATTGCAGTTTGAGCTGGGGCATGCCCCTAGCAGAAGTTCAGCTTTGATGGAAAGTTCACTTGTCTACAGGGCACACAGCTCTGGATTCAGCTGCACTGAAATTGCGGCATGCTTACATTCCATTTTGGATTTTGCTGATGAAGCACCCCTACAGAATTCCTGACTTTTATTTCTCAGGTTTGTTTGAAAAGCTGGGGTCCCCACCTCCTCTCCTGTAATGCTTGACTACACTGTTGAACTCTAGATTTGATTTATATTTATTTCAAGCTTTTTGAAAGCCTTGGTGTGGATAAACTGGAGCCAAGCTTTTGGGGGCTTTATATCTATCCCCAAATTTACCACACAATAACCACAACCCTTATGGGGACATGCAAGCGTAACGGTTCAGGATTGGATATCCAGATGTGAAATAGCAGAACATCTGTTTCTATTTTCAGCACTTCATAAAGTCAAAGAAATTTGAAATAAAGGCATGCTGAAAATCTATATTATACATAGTCTTGCACACCGATTATATTACATAAGCTTCAGCTTACCCTTTAGTGTTCTGTAGGGAATAAATTAGTTGTCTTTACTGAAATGGAATGTTGCAATCGGAGAAAGGGAGAATACTTTAGAGAGAGATACAAAACTTTTAATGGGAACAGCTTCAATTAAGTTTCCTGCATGGATCTGGGTGCCTCCAAAGAAATGCTGGCAAATCAGAATTTTGCCAGCTAAGCAATCCCACATGTTGCAAGCTTTCAGAGCAATTGAATTGACATTTCTCTTTCACCTTCCAATCATGTTTTATTCCCAGATTGTTTTTTTCACTCAAATGTGGCTAAAACTGCTGGTATGATTTCTACCATCATATGGGAACATACGGGCCTCCATATGTTGGTCCTTCAGTTGGTCCTTCCCATTATCCCTCTTCATTGGCCATGCTGATCTATTCCCACCCTGCTCTAGATGAACTATATTTGTTATTAGTCTGTCTGTGATCAACTGCCATGTACCCAAGTTAATATTTGGAGAGAACTCTTGCATGCTAGTACGAAAGATGGGCTTGTTTGCTGCAGTCTTGTATTTCTTGTGATGCTACAAAAATGTGGTTATCCTAAGGGCTGTTCCAATATAATTTCAGACACCATGTTTAACGCTCTACTTGCAAGTTATAACTATTGTGTTCCCCATTGTTCTTTTGTGCAATTTGTAGCCTCAGACTCTTAGACCAAATTAGTCATTGTTCCCATTTTTGATTACGTGTGTGTGTTCCCGCTCAATCTATTGGCAGCTGGATCCCTGGGGTGGAACAAATTAATGCTGATCTTATGATAAAACCTGAAATCACGTTACCAACTTTTATGAGAACTAGGAACAATCACACTCTGTTGGGTGCCCAAAACTGATCACCCCTCAAAAATTCCCAGTTTATTTTGACCTTGCCTTGGTTACATTTTTTGTTTTGTTTTCTGGAGAAGCACGAGCATTTTGGGATTTTTGTGCCTAGCACATTTTAATGGGAAGCAAAAGTTGGTTTCTTTACTGTTGCAACTGTCAGGAAGAAGAAGCGTTCAGCTTACGAGTGCAGGCTCTTTCCCAGTGTTGTTTTGTATTGGAGCAGAGTCCTGCTCATTCAGTCAAAATGGGATGTGTGGCAAGCAGGCATCCTTGCCCCTTCAAGTTATAGCCACACGAGGACTAATTTTTGGTGGAAAGGCAGCGTATAAATCAAATGATGGTGATGCACGTGATCTGGAACCCTGACAAATGCTTGGGGCCTTTGCACACAGAGCCCTTACAAACATGCCGCTGGCATGTACATAGACCGGACCAATGCAACGCACTGAGGCCAGGAGCAGAGACAGTTGGGGTGGTCCAAAGCTCCCCTCCATTCCTTGACTTTCCCTCAGGACAAGGACAGGGTTTACCAGTCTTAGCTTTGAGGGGCTCTCAGGAAACACGCAGGTCCATCAAACTCTCCTCCAGTCAATGACCGCACGGTGTCTGGATATAGTGCTTTGCATAGCGCCTCATGCAGCCATCGCATTTGCCACCACAGGAGGCACTGATGGTCAGAGACTTGGATTATTTTGCAGGACTGGACACATCCAAGTCGCATGAAGTGATCAGTGATCAGTGGCTGCTACTCACTCTTCTCTGGATACTCCCACCCAGTGAGGTAAGGTGGGTGGCGATTAAGCAGGGTACCCTCAGTTGTTGCATGTCCTCTCCAGGGGGGCTCGCCTATGATCTCCATCGTCTTCTTGATGCCAGGTAAGGACTTTTTTACCATGGTTTCTTATATTGATTTTATTTTCTCTATACTTTGTGCTGTTATGTATTGTCAAGTTGCCTCTGACTTATGCCAACCCTATGAATGAAAGCTCCCCAACATGTCCTGTACTTGACAGCCCTGTTCAGCTCTTGTGAACTCAAGGCTGTGGCTTCTTTTATGGAATCAGCCCATCACAGTTGGCCTTGCTATTCTTCTTTTGCCTTCAGTTTCCCGGGAATTATTATATTCTCCAGGGAATCATGCCTTCTCATGATGTTTCCAAGTTATAACAAGTTCAGTTTTGTCACTTCTGTTTCCAGAGAAAGTTCTGGCTTGATTTGATCTGGGGCCCACTGGCTTCTCTTTCTGTCAGTCCAGGGTACTCCCAAAGCTCTTCTCCAGCACTATGATTCAAACATATCCATTTTCTTCCCATCAGCTTGCTTCGCTGTCCAACTTTCACACCCATGCATTGTGGTCCAGAATACAACAGTGTGGATGTTCTTGGCCTTGGCCCCAGTGAAATGGCCTTCCCCTCAATGACCTTTTCTCGTTCCTTCATTGCTGACCTTCCAAGTCTCATTGTTCTAATTCCATGGCTATAATCTCTGTTTGAATTGACGACTGAGCTAAGAGATGCAAAATCTTTCACAATTTCAATTGTCTCAGCTTTGCATTCCATCTTGGGTGACCCTGGCAGGAGACCAGCCTAATGATAGTCTGACCCCTGGTGTCATAGCTTCTCTGACACTCTCAGAACCCTTCACCATGTTAAGGTGTGCATCCAAGAGGGGGGATCTGTATCTTCCATGTTGTATTTTAGGGTTTTAACTTTTAGAACCTCCAAGTTAGTTATTGGATAGGCTATAACAACAACAACAACACACACAGACACGTACATGAGATGCCCATTGCCAGAAACCATATGCTTCAAGATACCAGTGGCTGCGAAACATGATCACTTGTAGTTAAATTAGCCACCAGTCTGGATGGATTCGAAAGGAGATGTGGCCGATCTATCAGTGAGAAGACTATGAATAACACCTAGCCAGCCATAATGGCTGAATTACCTCCGGTATCAGAGACAGTGTGCCTTTTAACCCCAGCAGTGCACCTGGGCTGGAGATGCCACCACACACACGTCCTGCTCGTAGGCTTCCCCTGAGACATCTAGTTGGCAACTGTGTGAACAGAAGGCCATGCTGGATAGACCAATGATCCCCGGGCCACTCCCAGATGGTTCTTCTTGTGTTCCCAAGGCCTTATTGCATACATGAGTGGGCTGGGTAGTTCTGGTTTCTGTATTCATGTCTGGAGAGCTGAGCAGCTGTTCAGGGACAAAGAAGCTGCTTAGGGTGATTTGATTCAGGGAATGTTCTAGGAGCCACACAATTCCTGGATTTAGGCCCAGGGCTTTCCTGGTGACTCATATTTCTAGAAACAGGCGTTGGGTTAGGAAACTGCATTCACAGGTGCCGTTTTGGGCTGAAGTGAAATCTTTCGTGACCAGGATGCATCTGGAAAGCTGCGAACGGCTTCTCTGTTGCAAAGCAACTGCAGGGGAGTCTGTAGAGAAGTGGCTGGATGGGGAGTCTTCACTGTATTCCCAACCCTTCCCCACTGGAAAAGTTCCCTTCTGCTGCTTGGGAGAGGATTGCAGGGTAAATGCCTTAGGCAGGGCTCAGATCACCCCTCCTGCCTAAATCCTTCGACCTGCAAAGGGCACCCTTCACTGCTTTGCAGAAGAGAAGTGTGCTTTGGATTCCCTAAAATGTTTCAAATATTTATTTGCAGCCATAATATTCCACACCATGATGATTGCATGTAATTTTGCCCTGTGAATTTCCAGTAGTAGGACCGCTCTCAGAGGCAAGCATCCCAAAACGATTCTTACCTCCCCATTGGTCCTTTTAAAATGGTTAAGCTATGTGGTGTCTCGTATTGGTTTCATTTTTTAAAACATAGATGCTGTAATATAACTAAATTTAAAGAGAAGTGCAAAAGAAGAAGCTAACATTCATACCAACTTCTGTGCTTGGGTCTAGGAATACACAGCAAAAGGTTATACTTAGGGCTGGCAGGGAATACTGGGAGTTGCAAGACTTTTTCTGCTGCTTAAACATGCATAGGATTATGCTAGAACAGGTTTATTTTCCTTTTTTTTATAGGTGGTTCTCTGTCGCAAACAATGATCCTGACCCAGAGCAAGGAGTGCTAGGTGCTGAGCACCCCCACCAAGCTTAGGCCCACTGGGAAAAAAAGCCCAAATTTGCATTTGCTAATTTACATATACTGTAAATCATGTGCATGTGTCTTTAAAGGACCCTGTCTCCTAAGGAGACTCCTATTTGTAAAAAGGGATATATGGACAGGACAGAAGAGGACATTTTGTTAAAACAAACACGCGTGCGCACGCACACACACGCACACACATGGCAGAAAGATTCAGTGGGAACTGGGCAGCCAGAGGTGGGCAAAAAGCCAGCAAACCTGGGCTGTTCAGATGCAAGAGAGAGCAGGGTTCTTCTACTTTATAGCACCCTGTGCCATGGGGTGGTGGGCCATATGGCTTCCCAGACATTTGGGGCTCCAAATGAAAGATTTAGGGCTCCAGCCCTAACGGGCTTCCACTTAACACCACCTCTGACCCCGAGACAGAGCATGGTTTTGTTCCGTAGAATTGCATTTGTAGGAGCAGCGATGCATTCCGTGAACGTAGCCAAAGCCACCCTTTTTTACATAGCAAAATTAAACCTTTGAATACAATTTGATTCAATTGCCTTGATCATTCAAACTCCTGGCAATTTGTTGTTACTCTCCCCAGGTGAAAGGCTGAGGCAGAGAGAGGATGGGTTGCTCACGGTGGAGGCAACATCAGATCCAGAGACAGCCCAAGCCATCACTTGGTCTCTAAGCCATTTCAGCACTCCTGTTTGGAGCCCTCATTCTTTGCAAAAGGAAAACTATGTCTCTGGACAGGACAGCCAGCTTGGAATAGGCCAGCCCAGGGTTTCAGTCTCTACCAAAGAATCTTCACATAATTCTGTGCCTGTCAGACAGACAGACATACTGGCGATGTGCTTCAGAGAGGCAGGAACCGATGCTTCAAGGCACAGAGCATGAAGAAGGTCCCTGGCTGGCACACCTGAAGGAACACCTCCTCCATTATCATCCTTCCAGCCAGCTGAGGTCTTCTGAAGAGGCACTCCAGGTAGTTCCAACATGGGTTGGAGATCCATCTGGAAAGCATTGGGAGTATGGCCTTGAGTAAGATGGGCCATACTTTACGGAATGCCGTTCCAACAGGGAACAGGCATGCACCCCTGCTACTACATTTTCTGCATTTTCTAAAGATTTTCCCTTCTTTTTCAGGCCAGAAAATAGTTGCGCTGGGCCTATAGCCCAGGGATAGGCTGGGGAGCTGTCCCTCAACTTTCTTTGCCCCCATAATTCTTTGGAAATGCATAAAAGGCTTGCAAACCAGATGAACTGCACCCCTAGTTTCTTTGACACTCGCCTGAACTTGCAGGTTCCTGACCAGTCTGACATGGCCAAGTGTTCTGGAGAAAATGCTCAGGTCTCTTCGCTGAAACCACTTGGCCTTCAGAGAGTTGGCTGGGTAGTGCTTGGTATCTGTTTGGTTTAACCTTTGCATATGAAAAAAGAATGGTTAGCTGGGCATGATGAAGATGGAACCAGAGCCTAGCTTGCTCCATCTGGGCAGGGGAGAGAGAAAAAGGGTGCCCTCTTTGCAGCAGTGAGTCCTCATGGAGTGGTGAGTGGAATTTAGGCTTGCTAGCTGCCTTTGGCTTTTGAGTAGAACCAGCCTGTGGTTGAAAACTGATGTAAAATCAGACCCACCAAGTGGTGTAAAAGACAGAAATAAGGTTTTTTTCTGTCCAGGAATTTGTTTTGAGCACTGAAAGGGAATGAAGGTTGCAGACAAAAATCCATGTCTGGTTACTCCCACACTTTCCTCATTCCAACAGTGTGATTTAGGGCAGGAAAGAACCATTTTGGTGCTGCTGCTGTTAAACAGTAGGGTTTTGGAAATCCCCATGATCTGTTGCAGGCCACCTAGAGATCTACCAGTAGGTCATGATGAGGATCTTCTGTCTTCTTCCCATCACTGGGCAAATCAATAGAAGAAGTAAAATGCACATAAGAAACGGACCATGTGTCCATCTAGTCCTGTCCCACTGCAGGTTCTTCCGGTTGTCAGGCAGGGGTTCTCCCAGCTCTTCCTGGAGATACCAGGGCTGAGCCTGGGGCCTTCTGTGTGCAAAGCGGGTGCTCAGCCACTGAGCCTCTGCCGTTTGACTTAGGTTGCTTTCGAATTCTCTGCATAATACTTTCTGCATTCCAAAGCCCTTTGCCTAGAACATCCCTGCAGGAAGTGTGTGCAGTTTTGGAGGCAGAGTGAGTCCTTTTCCCTTCCTAGCATTCAACCAAGCATTTCCCCAACTGCCTGCAAGTCTGAAGCAGGGGAGCTGAGAAACAGTTTTGTGACCTCTCCTGCTGTCTGCAGGAACTGTGCCGAGCCCTGCCCGATATCCTTGGTGATAAGACTGCCAGTGATGCTGTTGACTCAAGATAGTTGCTGTGAGCTGGCAACTATAATAGACACAGGCAAAGTATCTGACAGTTGTGGTGCTTCAGGGTCACTTCACAGAAAACGTTTTCCAAGGAGATTATTTCAGTGTAAGGCAGAAACAGCCTCATTGGGTTCTCAGGTCTCAGCTGGCCTTACATTTATAGACCATCCTCTGCTGGCACTTCCATCAGGCTGGGGCAAGCACATCTAGTGTGGCTCCAAATGGACGGCAGCACACTTGGTGGGGTGAACAGTCATTAATGAGCACCTGCGTCAATATTTTTATTTGCTCTTATTGCTGCATTGATTCCCTCCCTTTCCCCCAAGAGCACTCATGGGACTGGCTCTCAGGTAGGAGTCCTTCGGACTTGCCTTCCTGAGAGCTAGAAGGCGACAAGAGGGGGAACGGTGGAACAATGCACGGTTAACATCTGGGGTGGGGAAAGTCACACACTTGTCTTTTGGTTTTGTATCTCTAAAATGCTGATAAGCAGGGAGAGAGGGCAGGGAGTGCCCTTGACTGACAGCTCCACCTTCTAATCCTAGGAGCTTTGATCACTATATTTTGCAGGAGGGAAAGGTCAGAACTATGAGATGCCCATTCTTCCAACACCATCAGGATTCACTAGGAAGAATGCCTTAAAATTAAGAATTTAAGGTAAGAATTGAAGAATGCCTTAAAATTAAGAATTTAAGGTAAGAATTGAAGAATGCCTTAAAATGGTTTTTAGTCATCACAGTTCTTTTCTCCCCTGTGCCCATTCTTCTGAAATTTTCAGATTGCTTACTTAGGAATGCCCATTGCCAGGATGCTGTTCCTGGGAGGAGGGGGCACCTCCCAGGGGTCCTTAGTTTTCCGACTGAAGGCAGCAGCCCAACCGTGCTGCTATCCGGTTCTGCAGACTTAGGAGAACTGTCAGTTGGAATGAAGAAAGTGAAGCAAGGGCCCCGCAGCTGTTCCTTTCCTGGCCTACGGATGGGGCCACGTTGGCCTTCTCCTTGCCAAGATGTTCCTCCTGAGAGATGGGGGGAGAACTGCTATCAGTGTCGTCATTATTATCATTATTGTCTGCATCCTTTCAACTTTCTCCATGGCTCTGCTTTGAACATAACATGTTGGAGAAGGTTCTCAGTCTTTTAATTCCTGGCATTTGTACTGCTGCTGCAGTATTTTTAGCCACACAAGATGATATTATGCAACATTCTGAAATGTGTTTTTTCAAGACTGAGGTGGTTTATACATTTTCATGCTCCAAACACTCCCTTAAAGTTACCCACTTTTGCACTTTCCAGACCCATGATAGTTATTTTTGCTTGCTGTTAGATTCTGGCAGTGTTACACTATCTCAAGGGCAAAAGATATATCCAAGACATCAAAAAATGCATTCCAAAATCTTAATTTAATGCAAGAGAAACTTTTCTTTTAAACAATAATCAAGAGAATTATAACTAGTTTCTGGAAAAGTTAGGCTTGAATTAAAAATAGGCTGCTACCTTCAGATAAAAGAAAGTCTTTATCAGAACTGTTTACTTGAAGAATAATTTGAAGGCTTATTTAATGTGTTAAAATTAATTACGATGATGATGATAACGATAATGATAGTAACAGCTCTTTTTTTCAAAATCATAATGGCCCTAAAGACTTCCAAATGGAGTGTGTTAGTTTGGGTAAGTAAGAATTGTTTATCTAGAATTTTAAAAAATGATGTACAGTTTACTCAAACCAAATAATTCTTCTGTTCTGGCCTGTTCTTTGGCACTACAAGAACTGGATTTGTTTTCTGAGTGCACCTCCCCACCCCAAATTGTCAGGAAGCTGCAAATAATTAAATGTCTAGCTGAAATGGCTCAGCATCTTACCAGGCCATTCTTTTCCCTGCCTCATACCACATTTTGTCTCGTATACATTGGAGAAAACCTCACTGACTGCTAGTCTTTGAAATCTCTACATATTTCCATTTTATTTTGTCTGTCAGTTCATTTAGACTTAGCAGGAAGGAGTAAACAAGAAAGAGAAGAATATACCTCTCTAGAATTATTCCCAGAAGGAATCTGAGATGCCTGTGAAGAATGGGGAATTAGTTGATATGACCTAGTGCTGGGCATCATATTTGTCTTTCTTCCAGAAGACTGTGGTGTACAAAATGAAGGTCAGGGAACAGTCTGGGCAGCAAAGCGGAGCACAGAAGCCAAATGGGTGGCTAGCTCTTTTCTTGAGTGAGTGTTTGGCGACTGGATGGCCCTCGGTCTGCTTCATTCATGGCAGTTTGTGGGGGTGTTTATGCGCAGATGCTGTCTTCCACTTGTAACTGTTTCAGGTGTTCCCATTACTGCCATCTTTTCTTTTTCTTCACACAGAAAATATATCAAGTAGGTAAAGACAGAGGAGCTGCAGAATGTCTTTGGATCTATAGCACTATCTGACTGGAGGCACTCAGGATGAAGATAACCTGGAGGGTGGACCATCCATGAGGTGGAAGGTGGTCTTACTATTATATAAAAATAAGTAATTTCAGTTCCTTCAATGGTTCAAACACACAGGCTCCCAGGAATGCTTTTACCTTCTCCACCCAGAGCTGCTGTGAAATGCACAGAATGCCAGGTGTTCCATCACTCTTTATTTATTTACAATATTTATATACTGTTCTATATCTAGTAACATGTCCAAAAGTGAGAAAATTAATTGAAATGCACAATGAAACCCTTTCAAATCTGCATTAAGGGATGGGAAATCTGCATTTACAAAGGGATGGGGCCCAGACATGCTCATAAGGAGAGTTCTTAGAGGAGAATACTAGATTGGGTTCAACAAACTGCTCTGTGCATGGTCAGAGATTCATTCTGGGTGTTTAGTGCTTTTGGTCAATAAGGAATGCTTTGCAAATGCATGCAAGAGGAACCTCAGCTCCTGACAAGGAATAGATTTTTCCTAGCAGAAGCATATATTAGTGAGTTATCCTAGTTACAATAAATGATTTTGGGATGGGTTGGTGTGACCTAGCCAATAAGGACCTGTCAGCTCTAGGAAAGGCCTCCTTCTGATTGTGATGAACATTATGGGAACTGGCTAGCTGATGTGCATCAACATGGCTTCCTGCATTTTTGGTTCCTTCTTGGGGATGTGGCTATGGGGACTGGCATGCCTTTGCCTGCATCTTTGAGTTTGCCGCAGGTAGCACTGGGTTAGATGAGCCAAATTGTCCATCTCAGGATAAAGCAGGGAAAGCAAAATAGGTAGAAATTGCACTGGAGTTCAGCAAGCAGTAAGCCATTTCAGCAGCTCAGTCACTGAATTGCTGTACATGCACAGAAAAAAACAAATTCACTTAAATTCCAAATATTTCAACAGAATTCAGGCATGGCTTTCCCTGGATTGGACCCAATATTAGTTAGGGTTTCAAAAACAGATGAGCTGCCAGTTGGAGTTGATGCTAATAACCTAGCATATTTTAATTTTTTTGTATTATTATTAGCTGTGCTATCATGGGGACACACATGACAGCACTCCCAGCACAGAGCATATTCAGTCTGTTGCAATATTGGTTTAATAATCTGTGCTACTGGAGTGCCAACCAAAGCAGCTGTCACTTTTCAGCAAGACTGTCACTGGCAGTTGCAGGCTTGTGAAACTGAACTCTAATTACAAACCTGGTTTCAAATGCAATTCAGCTTGTGACCCAAAGTCCAACTGACTTCATGGGAAAGAGGTCATGAACAGGTGTTGCATTTTTTTTCAGGATCTCTGGGATTTATTAATTGCTTTGTGCTACGTGGATCAATGAAATGCAATCCTCTGTAATTGGCCTAAGTGCCATTTAGATTAATTCTGTATTTATCAAGGGTTTTGTGCATCCATATGCCATTCAAGCTTAGCTCCAGAGATGGCGATCTCTTTGGCTTCTGTGTTAATATTTTACAGTAGTTAAAGATCTCCATAAAGCTTGCTGCATTGTGAAGTCCACTCCACCTTCCAGTCTCCAAATTATCTGGAGCAGGGAAGACAACCTTGTGCCCTCCAGATGTTTTGGTCTCTAACTCACAGCAGCCCCAGCCAAGAGGGTCAGTAGTCAGGGATTTTGGGAACTGTAGCCCAGCACTTCTGAAGGGATCCAGACAGTCCATTGGCCAAATCTCTTCTCGGCTGTTCTTCCCTTCCTTCTGGGCTTATCCTTTTCACATTTCCAATCCTGCAACCTCTTCCTTTGACCTTGTTTCTTCCTTGCTCCTCCATGGTTTCCCCCTTGCCTCTGGCTGATTCCTGTGGTGGGTGATGCCCATTGGCACTGGAAGGGCTGGGGTCAGGACAATGTTGGGCAGCACCAGGGCATCACTGTTATTCACAGCAGCACCCATTGTACAGAAGAGGGAAAGTGCGGCAAATGAGCTTTGAGATTGTGCCTGCAAGGCAGAGGGCATGTGGTGGCAGATCCGCACAGCAACTCAGAAGTACTCCTGTAGACCCACATTTTTGTGGCTCCTGCAGGAAAACCAGCTGAACAGAGAAAGAATTTGAGGTAAGTAACTTCAAGCTTCTTGGGCTTCCACAACATTTCTTTTCTCCATAGTTCTCAGGCCCATCTAACTCAGGTGTGTCGAAACTTGGGCTCATGGGCCAGGTCTGGCTCATCTCAAGGCCAAATATAGCTGTTTGGGGTTCACTACATGACCACACCCCCTTCTTCTGGCCACACCCCTTTCCTGCCTGCCAGGCATTTGCTGATTTTGGGGCCTTTGCACTGTTTCCCCCCATTCTAAAGGGCTGAAATACCTTTCCTAAGGCTTAACGCTGGCACTAAGAGCTTTAAGTAAAATATGCTGGTATTTGGAGGGGGGGGGGTCCCACCCCATTTGCCTTTGCCGCTTCTTCCCTCTGGGATTCAGCCTCAGGAAGCCTCTTCAAAGCTCACTTTGCCTCATGGGCTGCAAGAGGTTCAGCACCACTGGTCTGACTGCTTCGTCTCTGTCTGGTGTCATGATTTGTTCCTCCCACATTCTCCTGCTGTTTTGTATCTTCTCTTTGCCACTTATGTATTGCTGCAGTTTACAGGTTCACACTTTTTTTCAAAAGATAGTTTTAGCATTTGCTTATTTTTTTAATCTGTAAAAAAACCCTACATTTCTCCTTCAATATGCAGCATGCAGGCCTCTTTCTGTTTTTGTTTTGCTCAAAAGCAAGCATGCCCCCCCAACCCCAATCTGGCTTTGGATCACAGCATGCAGGAGGGGAGATCTGATGCCTCTTTCCCCAGCCGTGACCTCCCCATCCTGGGCCCCCACACCACAGTTGCTCCTTGGTAAAAAAGCAATATTTTCTACTCTAGTACAGGATTGCTCCAGCCTGCTCCTCCTCCTTCAATATTGGCATCTACTCTACAGGTCTGCATGCTTTTTCTCTGGTGGGCAAGTCATGCCCAGAGTGGGAAAGATTCAACCTTCCCCTCATGTATTTACTTCTCAGTAAAACGAAGCCAGGAAGGAGCTGCAAAGCATGTATTTAATGTGCCAGGTACCACTGGCACCACTGGCTGGAGAGCAATAGCAGAAGAGTGTCCCAGCAGCCACACTGGGCTTGAAAACCTGGAGGACCTAGGGCAAGGCACACACGACAGCCCCTCACCCTCAAGGCATCCACCTCCCTTCTGCCGTTGTCACCAATTACTGTTGCTCCCTGTTCTGTTCCTCTTCACTGTTGCCCTGTTTGCCAAGCTAAAACAGAGAACCTGTTGGGTCCCTGCTCCAGTGTGGGCCCTTGGTAGGTGCCCAACTATTTTATTGTTGATGCCAGCTCTGGTTCCGGCCTTCTTGTGCTGGTTGTGGGCTTCCCAGAGGCCTCTGGTGGCCACTGTGGGGAAGCAGGACACTGGACCAGATGGGCCAGTGTTGCCATATCTAGCCAAGCTGCTCTTATGTACAAAGTTTGCAGAATATGATTCCTTCCTTCTAATTTCTCTTGCAGGTAGCTTCATTCATTTGCAAGGCTACTGGTATTCCCATCTGTACAGTGGTGGTTTTCAACTAGTCTAGCTTTATCCAACTTGGTGCTTTACCAAAGTATTGGATTAAATGCACTGTCAGCCATGCTGGTTGGGGATGATAGCAGTTGTAGTGCAACACATCTGGAGGATGTCATGTTGTGGAAGCTGATCTAGTCTCTGTCCAGCCATTTTCTGTTAAGCTTCCTTCTCCATCTATCCACCCACCCACCCGCCCACCCTCCTTTTTTTCCTCCCGAATGAGTGACTGCTCAGACACAAAACGGTGAAGGTAGAACTTCAGAACTTTCCACACAAATGATTTCCTGCACCACAAGTGCCCCTGTCAGAGGTACTGTTTTCTCTCAGATTTGCAAGGGGAGGGTCATCATTAACTCCCCTTTCCTTGTTCACCATCTCTCAACATTCATCCAGCTGATTAGGAACATTCATCTATTGCTTTCTCTCCAGACTTCTAGGTTCCAACCTTCTTTCCTCAATTCTTTCTGCTATAGCCTCCACCAGCCCCTAAATCCGTTGCATTGGGTCATTCTTGAATGCTGCAAGCTGTTGAAGTTGCTTTCCTGATTGTGAACCTCCTGGCTAAATAATGTATTTGTCTGGGTACATGAAACAGTTACATCGTAGGCTAGCATCCTGCACAGATATTTCTGCTTGATTTGTGTGTTCTCATTAAAATGCCACTTTGATGGAAATCCTTAATAAAAAAGTAAAAGGAGTTCATGGCTTTTGCTTTAAAACTTGCATTAACTTTTAAATCCGCTCTCAGACTAAAAAAGTAAGCAACTTGGAAGGTATTTAGTTAGTGATTTTTAAAATGGCATTTCATTTTTCAGATCATTTTGATTCAAACAAAGCACTGAAAGCCTGGATTCATTCCAGTGCTTCATTCCAGCTTGGTTTTATTGGCTGGTCTGTTATAGGGAAGAGCAGATCCATGTCGAGCAGGGGATGGCTCTCTGTGTTTTTCCATCTTCTCAGGCTTGCCCTTGCTGGCACAGCTGTTCCCAGTTGGGGTGATGTGCTGTCCAGTGCCCAGGTCAGCTAACAGCATCACCTCTTCTCATTCACGTTTTTTCCAGTGGCACATGTGGGTTTTGCTCATGTACAGGCCCCTGTGTCACAACCAGCCAGGGATCTGTATTACCATTGTTAGTGAATGCAGTAAAAAACAGTGGCACCCTGCCCTTTGGACTGAAAGACATGCAAGGTGGCATGCAACTGATTGCAGTTAAAATGCACAGCAAAGGATTGCAAGGAGAGAGAAAGAAACAAAATCACATCACTACACAGACAAGGAATAGAACAAACAGTGGAGCCAGAAAGGAAGGGACGACAACACAGATGAGAAGCACACAACCATATCCACAAAACTTAACAAGATTGGGGTTTGCAGCCAATGCCAGTCCTGCTCATTTTAGTGGGTCTATTCTAAGTAGGACTAACCTCTGATAGAACCTGGAGGTTCCAAACCTATGTACACTTATCTCAGAACAGAGGGGCCACTTGTTGTTGTTAGTTGCGAAGTTGCATCCGACCCATCGCGACCCCATGGACAACATTCCTCCAGGCCTTCTTGTCCTCCACCATCCCCCGGAGTCCACTTAAGCTCATACCAACTGTTTCAGTGACTCCAGCCACCTCATCCTCTGCCGCCCACTTCTTTTGCCATCTATTGTTCCCAGCATTAGGGGCTTCTCCAGGGAGTCCTTCCTTCTCATTAGGTGGCCAAAGTATTTGAGTTTCATCTTCAGTATCTGGCCTTCTAAAGAGCAGTCAGGGTTGATCTCCTCTAGGACTGACCGGTTTGATCACCTTGCAGTCCAAGGGACTCGCAGGAGTCTCCTCCAGCACCACAATTCAAAGGCCTCAATCCTTTGGCACTCAGCCTTCCTTATGGTCCAACTTTCACAGCCATACGTTGCAACTGGGAAAACCATAGCCTTGACTATACGCACTTTTGTTGGCAGGGTGATGTCTCTGCTTTTTAGTATGCTGTCTAGATTTGCCATAGCTTTCCTCCCCAGGAGCAAACATCCTTTAATTTCTTGGCTGCAGTCCCCGTCTGCGGTAATCTTGGAGCCCAGGAAAATAAAATCTGTCATAACCTCCATTTCTTCCCCATCTATTTGCCAGGAAGTGAGAGGACTGGATGCCACGATCTTAGTTTTCTTAATGTTGAGTTTCAAGCCAACTTTTGCACTCGCCTCCTTCACCCGCATCAAGAGGCTCTTTAGTTCCTCTTCACTTTCTGCTGTTAGGGTGGTATCATCTGCATATCTGAGGTTGTTGATATTTCCCCCAGCAGTCTTAATTCCAACTGGTGATTCATCTAGCCCTGCCTTTCTCATGATGTGCTCTGCATATAAGTTAAATAGGCAGGGCGACAGTATACAGCCTTGCCGAACTCCTTTCTCAATTTTGAACCAATCAGTGGTTCCGTGTCCAGTTCTCACTGTTGCTTCTTGACCCGCATATAGGTTTCTTAAGAGACAAGAAGGTCTGGTATTCCCCTTTCTTTAAGAACTTGCCACAGTTTGCTGTGATCCACACAATCAAAGGCTTTAGCATAGTAAATGAAGCAGAAGTAGGTGTTTTTCTGGAGCTCCCTAGCTTTCTCAACTTACATATTATCAATAAGGAGGAAATGCAGAGGATGGAGATTTGGACACACTGGCTTATTTGCCTAGATGTACTTTCAGCATCATTTACTAAAAGTGCAACCAAAATTCACGGTGGAGGGAAAGCGTGCGGACTGGTGAGCCATGGGCCTGCTTACTCTTGATTGCTTGCTTCAGTGCCCCTGATCACTCTTCCCACGGTTGTTTTTGCTTTCTTTGCTTCACATTTGAACCAGACTGAGATGCAGTGTGCATGTACAGTGGTTCTTCAGCAGGTTTAAAACCTGCTTGATAAGAGAGACTGGTCACTTTTGATTATATTCTGCCAGTGTTCCATGATCTGGACAGTCTGCCCGTGTGTTTCTGGACCTAGTTCAGAGGGCTAGTATTAAACCAAAGAGCCCTGAGCAGTTTGGGACCAGTGAAACATCGCCTCCTTCCATATATACTTGCTCAGACCATAAGATCGTTTTGGAACCCTCTTTCAGGTGGATCCATCATGTGAACTGAGGTAGGTAATGACTGAGCAGATAGTTCCATGGTCTGAAATGACATCCCAGAGAGTCTCACTGCGTTCCAGGTGAAGATCTTTTTTATTTTTCAAGGCGTTTTGTCTTTCAGTTTTCAAAAGGGGATTTGTGCATTTTAATATCTGTACTGCTCCTGGTGCACTGGCTTTGACTCTACCAATGTAAAGTTTTATATTATATTTTACAGTATTACAGTATTTTGATGTTTCATGTTTTGTGACCACCTAGACAGCAATGACTACTGGGTGGTATAGAATGATGATAAACAGATAAAAACATATTCATATCTTTAAAGCATATGTGGATCAGACAACCCTTTAAATACAGCACACCTCTTTTCTCTGTCAATCCATCAAAGAAAGGACTGTCCTCTGTAAAAGAGGACACATGGGGCTTACCTCTGAGCAAAGATGTGCTTGTAAAATCTCCCTGAAAGAGAACTGCTTCTGCTTGAATAACAAGAATAACCAAGAAGGTGTGAGGAGAATTTCACCTGAGATGGAATTCCTGGCCTTCATGACCCTTTGGAAGAAAGCACCCCCATGTATTGTTTCAGCAAAAGCAATGTTTGCATGATCGTGCTCCCTTTTCCACATTTTCTTTAAATGTATTATGTTATAACCTGGTGGGGTTGTGGGTGGAACAGCTGGTTAAACTGTTGAGCTGCTGGGCTGTTGATTGGAAGGTCAGCAGTTTGGGGTGAGCACCTGCTGCTTTGTCCCGGCTTCTGCTTACCTATCAATTTGAAAGCATGGAAATGCAAGTAGATAAATAGGTGCCACTTCGGTGGGCAGGTAACAGCGTTCTGTGTGCCTCAGCGTTCAGTCATGCTGGCCACATGACCCTGGAAGTGGTTTCAGACAACGCTGGCTCTTCGGCTTACAAATGGAGTTGAGCACCAGCCCTAGAGTTGGACGGGGCGAGCACATGTGTGTGGGGAAACCTTTATCCTTACCTTATTCTGTTATAACCTGGTGTTTCAAGCAGTCTCCCACCCAAGTGACTGATGTGATCCAAACTGGCTTTGTTTCAGTGATGCCATAGCTCTGATGTTCTCGTTCACTTGATCCTCCTTTCAGGACCTGGTTAAGACTTTTTCCTCACAAGGAGAGGCTGAAATAGGAGCTGCCAAGGGTGCCATCCTCCAGGGGTTCAGTGACAAGAGCCACCTGGCGTCGTTCCTCCCCTTCACCTGTGGAACCTGCTTGTTCACATGCTACTTTCTCTGGCTCAGACAACGGAGGGAGTGAGAAGAGGATGGAGGTGCCATGGTCAGTTTGCTTACTGGCTCTGTGCCAGGCAGGCAGGCAGGCAAGTAAGTGGTGACAGTGAAGAGGAAGAGGAGAAGCTGGTGACAATGGTGACAAGAAGTTCGCTCACTATGGGAAGGGGCCCACTGAGGGTGTCTTGCCCAAGGATCTTCAAAAGCCTGGAAGCAGCACTGGTGATAGCTAAGGCTGGCTAGAGGCCATCTGGCAGTGTTTCCTGCAAAAGCTGGTCCCTTCTTCTCTGGCTCATTCCAGCTGGTCCATCTGACTGATTTTATCTAAAAAGGTGGATATTTTTCCTGTTCAGATTTTTTAAATTCTCCTTCTTTGACTTTAATATCACTGGTTTGAATATAATCCTAGTATATAGTTATGAATGTGAGATATTCCTATGCTTATAACTATTTACATCTTGTTACAATCTGAAGCTGTTAGTTAATTAGAAATGTTGCAACATTTTATTGTGTCATCACAATAAAGCTACTTGGAACATAATTTCATCATGGAAAAGTGGCATACAAATTGACTAATGGCAATGAAGAAAAGGAGAACAAGAAACTTGCAGAAAGGAGACAAAACAACAGACCAAATAAACTCATCTTTTGGGTTTGTTTCTTTAAAGTATTTTCCTGTTGTTGCAGTCTTGGGCCTCCATGGAATGACTGGAAATCCAGCTTGCTGTTTTCAAACAGATAGGGAAAAGAATAAACAAGAAAGAAGATAAAAAGCAAACATGAGGTTGCAAGGAGGAGATAATATGCTTATGTGTGTTCAGTTTTTTGTGTGTCCAGATAGACTATCTTGAAAGTTTGCAATAGCCAGTGTAGATCAAAGGGCCCAAATAGCATTCTTAAGTCCACAGTAGGAGCTATGTTTATTTATTTAAATGATTTTAACCTGCCTTTCTGTGCATACTGCCATCACAGACAGCTTACAAGATTGTAAAAAAATGAACATACAAATTGCAGCTGGACATGCACACAGAAATACATAACCAGAGCAGTGGCAACAGCTTATGATTTTAAAGCACTAAATGCAGATATCTGCAGCTTCATTGTCTACCCTGACAAGCATCTCTTTAAAAGAGTGAAACAAAGTAAAGAAAGAGAACTGCTGAAGTGGTTCAGATTAGAGGAGATGATCCCTAGAACACATGGGAGGGAATGGGAGAGAACAGTCACATCACATGTCAAGCCAGCTTGCATGACGCAAAGGTGAAATCTTACTGTTGTGAGTCTCTTGTGTTCAGTTCAGGAGCTCTTGCATGATACGATTAGCATTTTGAATTCATGTCTAAGAATTCCATGTTTCACTGCAGCTTCTCTGGTCTTCCAGACCCAGGATTGCTATTTTATTACATTTGTATGGAAATGCCATAGAATCCCCTGGCAAGAGTGGCCATGGAAGTGGCCACTTCTAGCCTTCAAACTCTACTGTCTTCAGCTTCTAGCAACAGAGATGTCATTGCTCATTTTATTCCCATTGGCTGTGCAATGTGGCTGTCTCACTGTTTACTTTTGGAAACAAGGAAACAAAAATACATGGCAGGGGAAGGGGGGATTGCAGCGAAACAATTCAGTTCCATTCAGTAAAAAGCTCTGTGGGGGCTAGAATGGGGGAGAAGTGCTGGAGACATGCAGGTGCACTTGGGAGGGGCACCCTGCCTCTTGATTGTGGTGGACCAGTCGGGAGGTGGCTGCTGTGGTTCATGGGCAAGAGCAGGGAAAGGACAGGGACCTTTCTTGTGGGGCCTGCTGGGATGCATGGTGAGGCTGGGAGGGCAACGCAAGGTGCACGGTGGAAACAGCACAGGGTTGGTTGCCATGTTGTGTGACCCAAGCCATTGCCTTCCAACTAGTGTTGTAGCAGGACCAGGGTTCACAAGGATACGACACCAGCACTTTTTGAATGGCAGGGACACTGGCATCCTCTGCCACCCCCACTCAGCCTCTCTTGTTCACTTTGCATTAACTGCAAGCCTCACGGGCTGGAGTGGGAAGCAATATTACATTGTTCCCTCTTTTAATGCAAAGTATTTTGAGGTGGTTTGAAGCAGCCTTAGCTTTACAAGGACCTGCTTCTGGTAGAGATAGGAACTCGTCTGCTCAAACCTTTAGATTCCCCTTGGAGGTGTGGTTATGGGACTGAATTCCGGCCCATCAAACTTTCAGTAAAGGCTTTCCTTACATTTGGCTGCAAGTCAAGCAACGGTGATGTGCCACTGAGCGGCATGCACAAGCCTGTGCTGCGCATGGCCTGTCGCCATTCCTTCTTTGCCACAGGGCAAGAGAAGCAGTGTCTTCCTGAGGACCAGACCATCCATCCATGATGGAGAGACTGCAAATGTCTCTTTCTCCCATTTCAACTTTCCTGGACAGGAATGAGGCGAAATCATATGGCGGGTGCCCCTTTCATTGCAGGATTCACACAGAAGTCATCTTTCTAGCTGTACCCTAGCCATATTAGATGGCAACTCCAATGGCTCTGCTGGCTGGGCATGATGGGAGATGTAGTCCAATACATCTAGAGGGTGTCATGCTGGGAAGATTTTGTCACCTGTATAGCAGGAAATGACAGCCCATTTTTCAATTCTTTTTTATGTTGTTGTTGTTTTGTTGTTGTTGTTATTTTGTATGCAAGAGCTGTCTGGGACAAATAAGCCAAGCCAAGCCAAGCCAGGCTGATCACCACCACCAAAATACTCCAAGCGTTTTTGCTATTTTGCCTGCCTGCTTGTTTGCTCCATGCAATGCTTATGTATTTGGGTTTAAAAGAACATCATCTGGGGCTTCCAAAAACTCTTCCGCATCAGCTGACTTTGGTGCCCTTTGTCTGACTTCATCCACATGGAAATCTTTTGGGACATATTTCTGTCCTGAGATATACATAGGCATTTGGCTAGGGTAGAAAATCTTGCCCCCAAAATATGGGTGTGTGCTTGAAAAAAGGGGTTGTTTGGGAAGGCTTGTAGCTGAAACAATAGCTGGTAACACACATACAGTGCCTAGTAGAATTTTTCAGCCCCTTATATTTTTCCACGTTTTCTTCTGTTGGTACTGAAAAGGACTGACATTATTACTGTTGGATGTACACAAGATACTCAACACTGTGAAGGTGCAAAAGTCAAAGTGTGTCTGCGAATTCTTCTGCAAAGCACTGAATTAGATTTAGATTTGCAGTACTTGGCAACTGCAGCCTCTTGTTGCCCCTTTACAAGGGAGGATTTATATTTGTTTATTACAACATGTCATCATTTGCACTAGTAAGTGGACACTTTAACAAGATCCTGATGAGCAAACATCTGGGTTTGTGCAGATCATGTCCTTCTTTGCAGGCTGCAAAGGGACCGCAGAGGGAAGCTGATTCTCCCTTCACTAAGAATTCCCCTGGGACAACCTTTTAAAGGAACATCTATCTTATCTCACTCAGAGCATTGCAAATTTCTTTTTTGTAGCAATGCAAATTAGGAAAAATAAGTTAGACCTCTCTTAGAACCCACCTGTTTTATCTAACTGCTTTACTTTCTCCAATTGTATTTGTTCTTTGGTCTGTGCCTGTAATAAAAGTTATCCTTTCCTATTTACTGAAAGGTGGAAAAGGGACTCCACGGCTAAGGGACAGGTGATGATCCCTAAGGTGACTCATTCGTACAGCACAACCTTGAGCCGTCAAACGTCAGTGGAAACACAGGAAGCGGAGGCAAGATGGCCTCCCTGTGACCCCTCCCACAGGATGAAGGGTGGTGGGAGGAGAGCACGACCTTGTTCTGTATCACAGGAGCGAAGGAGACACGGCTTAGCTTGAGCGGTGTTGTGACTATTGCATTATAAATGGCTAAAACAACAGCAGCTGAGTCCAACAACAAAAAAGGTCTTTAGGTTATGTGGTTTCCTTCTGCTCCACCTCCAGGAAAATAGTGCTTAGGCTACATGAAGAGGGTCTTTTTTTTAAAGTCCACCTCCCTCTCCTTCTCTCTGTTGCTCCTTTCTTCCTCTATCCAGGCCACTTTGTAGTTTAGCCAGGCATGAAGCTAGAGGGAGCGACGATTTCTCAATGGCTGCGTTGCTTTAGCTTTTGACAAGAACATGGAGAGAATGTGAACTGTTGAGGTGCACAGGAGGATAAAGAAACGAAGCAAGAGTTCTGCCTTTGTTGCACATGCACTAATCTCACATCCACCAGATTCTCCCGTGAAGGAAGCAGGTCTATAATTCTCCCTCTTTCTAGTGGTTTATTCTTGAGTTACATCTCCAGGTTGTTTCTTCTCCAACAGCAGAGAATTCTGGCTTCGCACATCCTTCTTTATTCGTGTCAGAAGCATCACAATTAAAATAAGGCATAGGATAAAACATGTTATACTAGAACTTACTATAAAATAAGAAATTTAAAATGTAAAATATAAAATCAAAACATGTACAGGTTAAACAGATGTAGGACAGATGTTAGCCACATTAGTTGCGTTCTGTCGTGCTGCCATGAGGTCCTCAAATGTGCCCTGATCAGGGCACAAACAGCAGGTATACATATGTGTTGTTGTCTGCATATCACCACAATCACAAAGGGCAGAAGTCACTGAAAAACCCCTTTGTTCAGAGCAACTCTGAATCTTGTACCCTTATGCAATCTATTCAACAATTTTCAAATTTCCAGGCGCTAACTCCTCCATTGGTTCCATCCAGTGTTGGTACTTTGTGGCTTTCTATAGGTCCACTGAATTTTTAACTTCTTTAAAACCTTCTGTCCACCTAAGGAAGCTCTTCCTAGATTTTAATCTCTGATGAGCTGGTTGCAGACCATAAAGGGGGTGTTGTCCAAATACCGATGATTTAAGCCTCTCTATATATGCTGCGGCTTCTCTGCGGATGGTAGGCAGAGCAATACCGGCTAGATGGTAGATCTTATCTTTAGGGTAGATTTAAGGCACCCAGTAACAATTCTACTAGTTTCATTCAGGGCAACATCTACTTTCCCAGCATGTGCTGATTTATACCGAACTGGGCAGGCACATTTTCCTGCCAAGTTACAAAGGGCTACATCTTTTTTCTTTAGGACCCTTGGCTTAGTGCCCCAGGTAGAGCCAGTTAATTTCCCAAGGATATTATTTCTTCCACTAACATTCAGTTTAGCATTAATACAATGCTGTTCATAAGTTAAAGTCCCATCTATATTGACCCCTAGGTATTTAGGGGTTCAATAGCATCCCTTTCTATGTAATATGCAGCTTCCTAGCAGCCTGCTTATTACAAAGATGGAAGGCACATACATTAAACATTGTTCTACTTCCTCACATGTTTTTTTGCCTCATCATCAGCATACATATAGTTGTTAGTACCTGCTGGGAGCGGCTGATCATTGATGTAAATATTAAAAAGCATTGGAACCAGTACACTGCCCTGAGGTAGGCCGTTCCTTTGATTCCTCCATCTACTTTGCCTTCCCTGAAGCTCTACAAAAACCTTTCTTAAGCAGATTCCTAATAATATTTGTGAGTCATATCATAAACTTGCTGCACATCAGGAAGAACAACCCAGGACACCTTATCCCTGGGTTGTTTAGAGCACTGTGTAAACAGTCTGCAGTTAGCATACTTTTCCCCCCCCTCTCGTGTGCTTTCAAACTACTCA